CTTTGGTTGAGTCCCTTTAGTTAACAGGGGTCACCACAGTGGATAAAACCGCCAACTTATCCAGCATATGTTTTACACAGTGGATGCCATTCCAGCCGCAGCCCAGTAGTGGGGAAACACCCAGTATGCATGTTTTTTATGCTTTTTTTTTTAAACAATGTTATGATGGCAATTAAGAAGGTGGTTTACCTAACCCATTGTTGTGTACTTTATTTCTCCCTACATAAATGACACTCCCACGGTATTGTTTAAGGTGTATTGTTAACTTTGAATGTCTTTACCAGGAAGAGTATTGTTTAAAAAAAGAACAGAGCTTCCCAGAGAGAAATATAACCTTTTTCATTTTAGAATTCACACATTAGAAAAATTAAAAACCTGTATTATAAAATAAATTTAAGTATGCACTTTGGGGGATATATAATGTACAAAAGCACTGCTGTGTCGACATTTTTAAAATAAATATTATTTGTGAAGTTAATATGATTACTTTCCTTTTTTAATTAAAAAAGCAATACATTTATATATTTTAGTTGTTCTCCCACTGCATCTATTTTTACATTATAGTGTTTATTAATAATTTGATTTAATGACATGTTTTTCAATAATAAAGTTATATGCTTCATTGTTTAAAAATGTATATTTACATTACTTATATTATTACAAATATTACTTATTTATATAACTTTTAAAATAGGTTATTATAAAATTTTAGTATAAATAAGCCATTAAAGCTGTATTGTTAACATTAATAGTCTTTACCAAGAACAGTATTGCTTAAAAACAGAACAGCTTTCCAAATAGAAATAACCTTTTCCTTTTAAAATGCAAACAATACAAAAATTAAAAACCTATATTATTAAATATATTTAAGTATGCACTTTGAGAGATAAATAATGTGCAAATCACTGCCATGTCAACATCTTGTAAACCGAAAAATTATTTGTGTAGTTAATATAATTGCTTGCTTCCTTTAATTAAAAACAATACATTTATATTATAGTTGTTCCTCCACTGCATCTCTTTTATATTATAGTGTTTATTAGTAATTTGAATTAAATTGTACTGTTTTTCAATTATAGACTGAGTTATATGCTTTATATTTAAACAATTATATTTATATTACTTATACATATATATTACTTATTTATATAACTTTTAAAATAGCTTATTAAAAATTTAGCATAAATAAGCTGTTTAAGCTGCTTTGTTAACTTAAATGTCTTTACCAAGAACAGTATTGTTTAAAAACAGAACAGAGCTTCCAACAGAGAAATATAACCTTTTCCATTTTAGAATTCACACACTACAAAAATTAAAAAGTGAAAAACCTTTATTATTAAATATATTCAAAGATTGCAATTTGGGGGATAATTAATGTACTAAAGCTCTGCCCTGTTGACATTCTGAAAACTGAATATTTACTTGTGCAGTTAATAAGATTTCTTTCTTTTTTTATTTAAAACAATACATTTATTGACTTAAACTGTATTTTTTCAATTATATTTATATTACTTAAACTATTACTTATACGTAGGCCCACACGAAATCTGCGCACAAAGAATTTGGCAGAGTTCCTCAGATTTTTAGCCCATCATTGATTCTGTTTATTTACATGACTAAATGTGTGTACATTTATCTTTATTCTGTTTTTAAATTAATTTCACTAATGTTATTGAATAATATGAAAATATTGATCTGATTTATTTACAATACAGCTTGTAAAGTCATATTTTCTGTCTTTAGTAGATATGTTAAATAAGAGACTTGCTTTGCTTGCCAAATAAAGTGGATCTAATTGGATTTGCATTGTAAACATTAAATAAATGTTAAAAAGATATAATTTCTATACAATATATTAAGGTTTTAGATGTGATGCTCCCAAATTATTCTGCATAAATCCACAGATTTTAAACAAACTTTGCAGAAATAGCAAAAAAATCTCAGCAGATTCTGTCTGGCACTACTTATACGTATATTACTTATTTATATAACTTTTCAATTAGCTTATTATAAATTGTTTGCATAAATAAGCTGTTTAAACTGCATTGTTATCTTAAATGTTTTACCAAGAAGAGTATTGAAAAGAAATATAGCCTTTTCCATTTTAGAATTCACACATTAAACATTTTTTAAAGTGCAAAACCAATATTATTAAATATATTTAAGCTTATGGCCACTTAGGAGGGTAAATAACTTACAAAAGCACTGCCCTGTCGACATCTTTTGTACATTTTTTCCAAGAGTTCATTAAATCAAAGAACAGAAATGTGCTAACAGATTAACATAACGTGTCCGTGTAAACAATCGTTCAAATAATATTGTATAAACTAAAGCGACATGCATGCAAATTACAACAGCACTTATGGCATGCAATGCCAGTGAGATCAAACTTTCTGACATCCTGTTTCAACATCGTGCACTAGCAACAGACAGTCTAGATGGGGATCTGATAGATTTTAGGACACAGTTAGCTCGCATGTAAGCATTCCATCAGCTAGAGCGCGATGAACTGGACTCGGTCACCCTATTTGCTCCAGGTTTGTTGTCATTGGCGCACCCGTGCTTGTGAAAACCTCCATTCAAACACACACACACACACACACACAGAGTAGTGGTGAACTTTAAACACTACATTGGCCAGAAAACGACAGCAGTTCGGCAGGGGTGCAGTTAACTTCTTATATGGTTACTCCGAGGCCTATTTCGAGAAGGAATACAATAGTTCCTGCCCTCTTCTGTTGATTTAACAGCAGATAACAAACCTAGATGTAGATAACAGCTGAAAATAAAATAAGAAGCGCTTGACAGGATGTGCCTATAAAAGTGTGCGTCACGATACAACTCTACATCTATATATTTAGACACCCTACTTCAAAATACACGTTTCATGTAATGTTAGAAGCATAACAACCCGATTATTATCCATACACACACACACCACAAAGACTCGATACACACTTATTTTCACTCAACCCTCAAGATCACACCTCCTCAGCGACAAACGCGCTTGAGTAGGTTCACATCTAACGTTAGCAAATTCAACCACAACACTGAAACATGTCACGCGTTAACTGCTTATTTTGGTCAAGCCACCGACGGCACAGCACAGCACATGACGGCTGACCTCAAACCTTCTCCCGTCGCTTTTCAAGCGTTGCTTCCCGTTCGGTTTGGATGAGGTCGGCGCGCGGCGACAACACGCTTCCCTGCTAACGTTTAAATCACACCAGCGGGCTTCTAATCATGTTTTAACTGTGTTTCATGACACACATTCACACTGAACGCAGCGTGAAACGGCGACTAAGCGAACCAGGCTTTGGCTAAGCCTCGAGGTGGGCATTTTTGAGCCCTATAAAGCCTCCAATTTGTCTTTGGAAATGCAAAATTGCCTTTTCTTGAAACTTACCAGCGGGTCCTTTTTCTTTTGCATCTTCCGTCAGCTTTCGTTGCATCTGTCTGACGGCCGCTGATGGCGTCATCGCGCTAGTCACGCAAATAGGGGCGGAGCGATTGGGAGAGACCGGAACTGTCAACAAACTTCGCAAGCTGATCCAAATCAAATAGTTTCCTAGAGAGAAGGTGTCTTTACTAAGAACAACTTCTAAGGACTTCTTAGAAATCAATTATAAGTGCATATGGTGACACCGATGTATGCGTAAATAGCTTCTGGCGATAATATTAAAAAGTATAATAACACATAGACGCCAGCTGCATTGAATTTTAATAATGTCCCCCTCAAAACAGTGGTGTATTTTGTTGTATATAATTCTAATGCAGTTTCGGTTCTCTAAATAAAACCTGAATATTTAGTCTCTGCAGGTAATATTTCTTTCGTAATTAATACATTTGTATAGTTTAGCAGTTCCTCTGGATCTGTACCTTAAAAATTTCATAAAAATAAAATGACTCGGGTTTCTTCCCAGTGATGGGTTGCAAGTTGAAGGGCATCTGCTGCCAAAAACATGCTGGACAAGTTGGCAGTTCACTCCGCTGTGGTGACCCCAGATTATTAAAGGAACTAAGCAAGAAAATGAAAGAATGACTCGGGTTTCTTTCCATTTAAAGATGTTTACTGAATTTTTTAAGCATCATAACAATAAACTCCGGGCAACAAAAACGTTGCTCCGTCTATTTTTTACTTTCCTATCTGGTAATATAACTTAAAACAGTGGGCGGAGCAAACCATTACAAACAAAGAAGTATGGATGAAATCAACAACATATCAACAAATGTAAACTACATGATTTTAAGCACCATTAATAACTTATATTAAATCAAGTAGTCTCTTTCAACATCTATGGTATAGTACATTGTTTATAAATAATTTTAAATAAATTCATTCATTTTTTTTGTCAGCTTCATCCCTTTTATTAATCCGGGGTCGCCACAGCGGAATGAACCGCCAACTCATCCAGCACGTTTTTACGCAGCTGATGCCCTTCCAGCCGTAACCCATCTCTGGGAAAATTTTGCATAAATTATATTTACAATTTTTAATAATAGAGGGAGTTATCACTGTTTAAAAATGTATATTCAATTACTTATACTACTTGGGGCTAGTTGGGTGGCGAAGCGGTACGAGTTGCATGTTCTCCCTGTGTTGGCGTGGGTATCCTCCGGGTCCTCAGGTTTTCCCCACAGACCATGGTACAGGTGAACTGAATAAACTAAACTGGCCGTAGTGTGTGTGAATGCGTGTGTATGGATGTTTCCCAACTACTGGGTTGCAGGGGCATCCGCTGTGTAAAACATATGCTGGATAAGTTGGCAGTTCATTCCGCCGTGGCGACCCCTGATAAATAAAGGGACTAAGCCGAAGGAATATTCATGAATAATTTATATTATTTATAATAAAAAACAGCATATGGAAATAATAATACAATCAGTACTAGACCAGTGCTTGTTGCTTTTCTTTCAAACTTTGATATGAAAATCATTATTCCCGTATATATTTACTTTATTAATTGAATTGTTATAACGGTGGCGATCCTTGTCCTTCAGTCATTTCTGACAGACGAGCAGCGCCGCATAGTGGAGTTTGAGGGTTCCTGTTACCAGTGGCAACTGATCAAACATCTCCGCACTGTAAACATCCACATTTAACCAAAGTAAAAGTCAAACTCAGCAAACACGTTCAATATTTGTTTTCAACATCGTGTTCTTGAGAATTAGTAAGTTATCGTTGTCTTTTTAAAGTTCTACTTTTTACCGTTTTAGATGACGTGTCTTTATTAGGACAAAAATAACACTCAAGTGGTTTTGTAAACATGACCTCCCCGCTGTCTATCCTGAGGAAGAACAGACGAGCTCCTTTACCAGACCTACACACTGATGGGTGAGTGCAAACTACATGCACGGTGAATGAATGTTAAATGCTGACAAATGCTCCATCAAAAAGCGTAGATAGCCAACATAACGTTACCTGAAACTCAATTATTAAACTAATTGTCTAAGAAGTCCTATTATGCTATAAGACCAGAGTTTCTCACCCATGTTCCTGGAGGACCACCAGCTCTGCACATTTTTCCGAGTATGCTAAACCAAACGCACCTGATTCAGATCAGCTCATTAGTAGAGACTGAAAGACCTGTAATGGGTGTGAAAGACATGCGTGTTTGATCAGGTGTGTTTGAACATTTTGGTTTTAGGACTACTGTAAAGAACCTTTTTGATCCACTTCAAATGTTGTTTAGTAGCTACTAGGTTATATTATCACTTGGATTAGCTCAAAGTGTATATTGAAACCGCTCCAATCATTACATGAGTAATGTAGAGTAATGCGTTCGTGGTCATTAGACTTTACTCATGTATTGATTGGAGCGGTTTTAATATACACTTTGAGCAAATCCAAGTGATGATATAACCTAGTAGCTACTAAACAACATTTGAAGTAAATCAAAAAAGTTCTTTACAGTAGTCCTAAAACCAAAATGTTCATTGAACAATACCCGTTCTTGTCTCAGGACAACTTTGATGAATTTTTTGATACGCTTCAGATGCTGACAACAGTTTTTAAACTTTGCAGTAACATGATTTTTAACAGGCATACCAAAAAATAAAGTGTCAAGTGAGAGTATGTGTTTGTTTTGTGTGAAGCAGGGGTGGCCAACCCTGTTCCAGGAGATTTACCGTCCTGCAGAGTTGAGCTGCAACTTTGATCAAACGCAACGGTCTTAAATTACCAAGTGCTCCTTCAGATTCTAGTTGGTTTATTTGTGTTTGATCTGGATTGGTGTAAAGCAAAATTATACAATTTGTTAACAGTTGATTTTTTTCAGAAAAATGTAATTCTGGTTTTGGCTCTTGGTGCTAGTAGAACAGTGTTTTACAAAATAACCAAAACACTTCAATAAAAACTCTTTGTTATGTGGGGAAATAAAGTGATCAAAACTAGAGAACTGCAATGATTCAAAATTGAGTAGGAGCTAGTCTCCCTCATCACTAGCCTTCCTCAGCACCTCGCATCGCTAGTCTCCCTCAGCTAGTTTCCCACATTAACATCGCAAGTCTTCCTCAGCTAGTCTCCCTCATCACTAGCCTTCCTCAGCACCTTGCATCGCTAGTCTCCCTCAGCTAGTTTTCCACATTAACATCGCAAGTCTTCCTCAGCTAGTCTCCCTCAGCACATCACATCGCTAGTCTTTCTCAGGTAGTCTCCTACATCATACTGCCAGTCTTCCTCAGCTAGTCTCCCTCATCACTAGCCTCCCTCAGCACATCACATTGCTAATCTTCCTCAGCTAGTCTCTCACATCATACTATCATACTGCTAGTCTTCCTCAGCTAGTCTCCTTCATTACTAGTCTCCCTCAGCACATCACATCACAAGTTTCCCTCAGTTAGTTTCCCACATCACATCGCTAGTCTTCCTCAGCTAATCTTCCTCATCACATCGCTAGACTCCCTCAGTTAATCTCCCACATCGCTAGTCTCCCTCAGCTAATATCCCACATCATGTCGCTAGTCTACCTCAGCTAGTTTCCCACATTGCTAGTCTCCCACATCACAATTCTGCCTCAGCTAGACTCCCTCAGTTAATCTCCCACTTCACATCGCTAGTCTACCTCAGCTAGTCTTCCACATCACGTCGCTAGTCTTCCTCAGCACATGGCAAGTCTCAAATGTCAGTGTTAAATGTCAACACAATCATTGTTTTATTATTATTCATTCCTTCTTCTTTCACAGTTATGCAGCTCTAATGTAGCGTGTTGCTAGAATGACCCAGACAGTCTCTGAAATAATCAGATGTTGTATCTGTTTTTTTGATCTAGGGAGAGAAAGCCTCACAAAGAAAGGTCAGACAGCGGTAAGACATACACACATTTTACACTTCTCCCATCTGTACTAACAAGCAAATAAAATGGCAAGATAAATGTCAAGAGTCACTGTGGTCTGAACCGCCGTGCTTTACAGATTACGGAAATGGCAGGTTTCTCTCTCTGTCAGGGCCTGAATATAGAGGCAAATGGGATTATACAAAATGCACAGAGATCACAATACAAGTCATGGACCATCTGATCATACAGAAATACCTGAAATATATATCGATTTTGATGTTTCAGACTATGAAGAGAAACTATTCCAAGACATTTTCCCACAAAACCAGCCAGTGCCACGTGTTCCGGATCATCTTTCCACTTTAAGATCTAAGTTCATGCAAAAGAAGAAGGCAAAAGCAGGTACCATTATTAAATTAAAATGTATATACAGTGGAAGTCAGAATTATTAGCCCCTCTGTACACGGCCTGACAGAAGTCTTGCATTGAGCTCAGTTGTAAAAGCCTCAAATAATAACTTGACTTCTAGTTGATCATTTGGAAAAGTGGCAGAAGGTAGAATTTTTAATGAATCATCTGTTGAGCTGCATCTCAATCATCCGAAATACTGCAGAAGACCTACTGGAACCCGCATGGACTCAAGATTCTCACAGAAATCAGTCCAGTTTGGAGAAGGAAAAATCATGATTTGAGGTTACATTCAGTATGGGGGCTTGTGAGAGATCTGCAGAGTGGATGACAACATCTACAGCCTAGGGTATCAAGACATTTTTGCTGCTCATTACATTACAAACCACAAGAGAGGCCAAATTATCCAGCAGGATAGTTCTCCTTCATATACTTCAGCCTCCACATCAAGGTTCCTGAAAGCAAAGGTCAAAGTGCTCCAGGATTGGCCAGCCCAGTCACCAGGCATAAACATTACTGAGCATGTCTGGGGTAAGATAGAGGAGGCATTGAAGATGAATCCAAAGAATCTTGATGAACTCTGGGAGTCCTGCATAAATGCTTTCTTTGCCATTCCAGATGACTTTATTAATAAGTGATTTGAGTCATTGCAGAGATGTATGGATGCAGTCTTTCAAGCTCATGGGAGTCATAAACAGTATTAATTCTTTTTCCACTGCAGCATGACTTTACATTCTATACTGTACATTATTTCTGTTCAGTGACAAGACTTCTGTCTAAGCAAAGTCAAAGCTTACTCTCCTAATTAAATAATTAAAAATCAAGTCATGATCATATTTTATTGTGGTAAAAGAAGCGTAATCTAGAGGCCTTTGTCTTTAATATAAGACACTTCTGACACCAACTGATCAATCAGAAATCAAGTTATTATTTGTTCTTTGTAAAACTTGCATAGGTGATGAGACTTTAGTCAGGTAGTGTATATTCTTTTCCCCAATTTCTGTTTAAAGAAGATGAACACATTTCTAAATAGTTCTAATAACTATTTTATCTTTGCCATGATGATTGTAAATAATATTTTTCTAGACATTTTTTAAAATACTAGTAATCAGCTTAAAGTACTATTTAAATTCTAGATTTATTACGTTAATTAGGCAAGTCATTGCATGATGGTTTGTTCAAAAGACAAATCGACAACAGATATTGCTTGAGGGGGCTAATAATTTTGACCTTAAAACGTTTTTTGAAAAATTAAAAACTGCTTTTATTCTAGCCAAAATAAAACAAAACAAGACTTTCTCCAGAAGAAAAAATATTATAATAAGTATATATATATATATATATATATATAAATAAGGAAAATTCCTTGCTCTGCTAAACATCATTTGATTAATATTTTTAAAAAAAGGTTAATAATTTCGACTGCAACTGTATACAGTTATATTGTCTATCAAATCTTCTTTGAATGTGTCACAGCTGTGCCGAGTGATTTTGAACTGATGTCAAGTATGATGCAGAAGATCTGTCACCTAGAGAGAAAAGTGAAAACTCAGGCTGTGGATATCGAGCAGAAGGTAAAAACTTGTTTTTAATCTCACAGTCCCGTGACTTTAAAACACCTAAATCTGCTTAAAAGCTTTCAGGTTTTGTGTGTTTAGTATCCTCAGTCTTATATCTATAGGCACGGCTGACAGGATCATTCAAGTGTCATGTTTCTATTAGCAGTGTGTTTTCTTACATTCTTTGCTCAAGGCGAGAAGAATAGCAGTTCTGGAAGAGAAACTGAATATCCTGCGAGAGGCAAAAGGTATAATGATCACTAAAACATTCAATTCAATTCATCGTTATTTCTATTGCGCTTTTACATTGTAGATTGTGTCAAAGACGCTTAACATAGAAGATAGAAAAAAAAAATAACATACTGTAACAACAGTATGATGACTTCTAATGAAAGCAAAATGTATTTATGTTATACTTTTAAAATTGTAATTTATATTTGATTTGTATAATAAAATTTAATGGGTTGCTTCCAAGCCGATTTAGATTAATAATAAAATAATATACACTCGCCAGCCACTTTATTAAGTACACCTTACTAGTACCGAGTTTGACCCACGCATGCCTTTAGAAGTGCTTAATCCTTCATGGCATAGATTCAATAAGGTACTGGAAATATTCCTCAGATATTTTGGTCCATATTATCAGATTTGAACCATGAGAACCTTGGATAATGAGATGTGAACCATATTGCTCTATTGGATTAAGCATCTGGTGACTGTGAAGGCCATTTGAGTACAGCGAACTTATTGTCATGTTCAAGAAACCAGTCTGAGATGATTTGTGCTTTATGACATGGCGCATTATCCTGCTGAAAGTAGCCATCAGAAGATGAGTACACTGTGGTCTAAAAGGGATGGACATGGTCAGAAACAATACTCAGATAGGCTGTTGACAACATGATGCTTAATTGGTACTAATGGGCCCAAAGTGTGCCAAGAAAATATTCCCCACACTATTACACCACCACTACCAGCCTGAACCGTTGATACAAGGCAGGATGGATCCATGCTTTTATGGTGTTGAGCCAAATTCTGCGCCTATCACTCGAATGTTGCAGCAGAAATCTAGACTCATCAGACCAGGCAATGTTTTTCCAATCATCTATTGTCTAATTTTGGTGAGTCTGTGAGAATTGTAGCCTCAGTTTCCTGTTCTTAGCTGACAGGAGTGGCACCCGGTGTGGTCTACTGCTGCTGTAGTCCATCTGCTTCAAGGTTCAACATGTTGTGCTTTTAGAGATGCTTTTCTGCATACCTCGGTTGTAACGAGTGGTTATTTGAGTAACTGTTGTCTTTCTATCAGCTGAAACCAGTTTGGCCATTCTCCTCTGACATCAACAAGACATTTGCGCCCACAGAACTGCCGCTCACTGGATATTTCCTCTTTTACGAATACTATATGGTTGTGTGTGAAAATCCCAGATCAGCAGTTTCTGAAATACTCAGACCAGCCCGTCTGCACCAACAAATATGCCACGGTGAAAGTCACTTAAATCACCTTCTCCATTCTAATGCTCGGTTTGCTGTTAGATGCTGCCATGTCATTGGCTGATTAGAAATTTGCGTTAACGAGCGGTTGGACAGATGTGCCTATTAAAGTGGCTGGTAAATGTATATACACAGTTTTAATAGTATAATTATATATGTATATGAGTGCGTGTAACATTAAATTATGGGACAAATTGGAGAACCTAGTATTATAAGGTATAAAGATATAAAATAACCTTGTTTTTGTAAACATGTTATGAAAGATTTCTTATACTAAACATTCCTAAGAAAAAGTTTTATCATAAAATATTGTTTCACTGAAATACATAAAATTATGATAAAATTATTCAGTTTGCCTGAAAAAACAACAACAACAAACCTAATTAAAAGAGACTGTAAAACTGATGCAAAACAAGAAAAATAAAAGCTGCATTACATTTTTATTCATTTAATGCTTGACACCCCTTTTTGGTTTTTGATTAATTCATGTTAACATTTATAATTTCAAGCAATTATTCATTTTAATTAATGAGAAAAATGCAGCCAGTTTGTTTGCTTCTCATCACTGTATTGTAGTCATAAATATCTGATGAGATTTAAAGTAGAAAGATTCCTAAACAATCAGGTGACCTCTAAATGACACCGACAACATACTCTTAAATAGTAGTTTATACAAATTGTATTATCTGTTTAAGTCAAATAAAGCTCGTCTAAAGCAACATGTTTATCTTTAGTTTTAGAGGAATCTGCAAGTAATGAAAACCAAGATGAAGGATTGGTTCAGTTCTGCCTCAAGCTTCAAAAGCAAGTGTGGGAAATGGAGGTGAGGAGCTTAGTGTGATTGTTACCTGCACCGATGCAGAAAACAGAACTCAATCAGGTTTAATCACACCAAAACAGCTATTAGACAGTCAAAATTATGACATTTTCCAACCCACACAGAACTTTCTGAACGACTATGGAATGATCTGGGTCGGAGGTTATGAAGAAAACCAGGATGAGCGAGCTGAAAGTCAACTCACAGGAGCAAGCTCTGGCCGCAAAAGATTTGAAATGAACTTTGACCTGGTCATGCAGAACGTCAAGGAACTCAATCTGGAGGCAGGAGAAGGAGAGTCTCATGTGACGGCCATTCCTGGAGGCGCCAAACTGACCCAGAAGCCTCCCATACCTCTCTGGTTGTACAAAAACGGCATTGTCATGTTTAACGGTCCATTCCGCTCCTATCAAGATCCAACCACACAGGTTCAGATGTTTTCCTGTTTTGGATCTGCATTTCATTGGACAGACACAGTACTGTGCAAAAGCCCTAAGCACTATGCATTGAAAAGTTCAAGCCTGGTGAACTTTGACCTGCGAAATTGCATTACATGATTGCGTGAGACCAATCGCAGATCAAAACATGACCTCTCTGGGCAGAAATTTTAAATATTGACAAATCGTTCGCTTTTTTTAAATGTCTAATTATTGTTTAATCCCGCCCCTTTACGCAGCATTGTACAACAGAATTTCGCACACACAAACTCTAGTGTGACCGCAGCTTTATCCTACTTTTCTTATCTTCGTTTTTGAAGAAACCTCCCATCCTCCCTTTTTCTCCTTTACCAAGTGGAGCTCTCAAGACCTACCTGATCTGGAACCCCCGTCATGCTACATGACCAGGCTAGAGCTCTGGGCTCATGGGTCTCAAACTCAATTCCTGGAGGTGTGCACAGTTTTGCTATAACCCTATCAAACACAGCTGCTTCAAATAATCAAGGCGTTTTAAAAGAGTCATGAACACCTTCATTAGTTAGATCAGCTGTTAGATCAGGGTTGGAGCAAAACTGCAGAGCTGCGGCCCTCCAGGAATTGAGTTTGAGACCTATGCCTGGGCTCAAGTATCTCTGAGCTCTGGGTTCTCTCCCAGGACAGCATGCCAAATCTGCAAATTATATCAAGCAATAGCTAAGTGTGAACTCTTGAAATAGGATATTATTGCAATTAGTGGATCATCAGCATGCTGAAAATGTAAACTATTACCACAGAACGGCATAATGGATTAAAACCTGTACTTTACGACATGCACAGTTCCATCAATTCAGACAACGTTGCTAACAACACTGCTAGAAAGGTCACACACCCTCTCTCCAATCACGTTTGAAACAAGTAAACCAAAATAATTCAAACTCTAACCTCACACCTATCCTTCCTAACAAACCATACATCAGCTGGAAAAATGTATTCACCCTGTATATCCTCCTGAGACCCAAAGAACTTATTTTCTTTTTTTCTGTTATTTCCTACATCCTTTGGGTTAAAAAAATCTACAGTTTAGAGTTTTTCATTTTGTTTTTAATTTTACAGCATGTCCACTGTGGTGGACCACAGGACCATTTTAGTTTGAAACGACCGCCACTCAGACAACAAAACTGTACAGGACATGGCTGTAAAGGGATATTAATTCAATATTAGTGTAACTTTTTTCCTTTTGTATTAAAATTCCTGAAATAGTTTAGTCTGAAAGAGAGCTAAAAAAATAAATAAATAAAATAAAAAAGTGATGTTAATCCAAAACAAATTTAACAAAAGTGATTTAAAACTGATCATCATTCTCTAATTGTCTCCAATTCTCTAAGTCTCAGACTAAATCAGAGTCTTCCTCAACTATTTTATAAAGAATCCTCTCTGCTTTAATTCTGCCCCTACAACATGCAGTCATTAATTACATTAAGATGGTCCTGGTGTCCACTGTAGTGGACATTTAAAAAATAATGATATTTTGAAACACAAATAAGTTAACAGCTTTAAAAGCTAAATATATTGTTCCTGACACTTTAATAAACAAATATATATATATATATATATATATATATATATATATATATATATATATATATATACATATATATAATATATAAGCAAAATTTTACATACCTCCTTCCCATAAAATGTATGTGCTTGTTTGTATGCCAGCCATTTGTGATGCAGTTTAAGTGGTTCCTAGCATGCCAGCCAATCAAATGGCATATCACTAGAAAACCCAGAATGTCCTCTGAACAGTACAACAGGACTTGACTGAATACCTCAAAAAATTCAAAGAAAATTCATATAAACGCAATGTCCACTACAGAGGACACAAATCAATGAGTTGGGTCTCAAGAGAATAAAAATGACACTTATAACTGGTTTTGTGGTATAGGGTCACAAATATCCATTATACCATCAGTAAAACTATTGACTTAATGTTAGTCTAAAAAATCTGCACAGTACTGTATATATAATACTTGACCTAATATTTTCATTATTATAGGCAGTTTATTTTTCTTAGACAAATAATCAGTTTTTTTGTTTCTCTGTTGCAGGAATGCATGCAAGACTTGATGGATGGGTTTTTTCCTTCTGAGCTTCAAGAAAGATTTCCCAATGGTGTGCCTTTCCAGGTGTGCACTCGGAATTTATAGTTTTATCCTTCTAGAAACAAATACCTTCTTAAAGTAATCGCATAATATCATTAAAAAGACGAAGAAAAGGTTATGATAGTCATTAAAGTAGAGGAATTGAAGAGACACAGTGGGTTAAGGATCATATACAGTGATCGTTCTTCTACCGGTTTTGTGTGAACCAAACAAACAGGTTAATGACAGACGAGAGGAGGAGTTTATAGTTCGACGACCGCGGGCCGAATTTCCTGGAAGAGGACAAACTATAGATGGAGGACAGCAGATGATGGACAGTTCTGAGATCAGCTCCACAATACCAAAACAGAGTCAGATAGCAGGTGTGAACATGTAATGGTTTTGATTGACCTTTGACAGCTATGGAATACATTACATGTTGAATGTGTTCATTCTGTGTGGCATTTAGGCAGAAAACTGTCCATGGAGCAGTTCCTGCGGAAGCTTCCAGAGACTGTGGTGAAGGCAGGCAAAGTGATTAGCATACGGGACTCAGTAAAGGCTCATCTACTGGTTAGTATAGTCAATTCTGTCAAATTGAAGTTGCATTTTCTATTGAATTGAATATTTGGAGTCCGCTTTATTTTAAAGGGCCCTATTATACATTATAAAGGGTCATATTTTGGTTTTAAGGATCTCCAACAACAGGTTGACCTGCATGCAATGTCAAAAAACACTTTTATTGTCTTAAAATAAGCATTTATTTTTACCTAAATATCCCAGTGACTTCCATACAATTCCTTCAGCGATTTATTTGTTCGCTTCATTTGTTCCTTAGCGCAAAAGCTAATCTGCGCCAATTGGACCGATGACAGCCTGTTGTGATTGGTCGACAGCATTCAGCGAGAGACTGAGTGAAATGCCCAGCACGGCTTATTAGCAATATTGAAGTAGTCAGAGTGCAGAGTGTATGTGTGAGCATACCTGCCAACACTCCTGTTTGTTCTGGGAGTCTCCCGTATCTCCAATCCATCTCCAGCCACCCACCCATTTTATCATTTATCCCAGAAAACTCCTGTAATTTAAAGAGTTAACCAGATACAATACACAAGGTTACAAGTAACAAAACACAATTAAATACATCATTTGCAAGCTAGAGAAATCAATGAGGCAGCCATTTTAAATCGCATTTACTCACATTTGTTAAATGGAGGAAGAAACTGATCCATGAACTGTGTACTGTAAAGTTCCTGTCAAGCTCTGACAAAGTCCCATACATCAATAGTCTTTTCTGATCCTTCCTTTAACAAATGGCTGATGAATGCCCCGTTGTAAGTGTGTAGATTGCTGAGGCACTCGTCAGAAAAATGACGGGGGAACAGCTCGAGGCTGGGCTATAATGCCGAGGTATTTTTGCAGAAATAAACTTGAACCACTGACTCTTCACAGCCTCATCTTTGGGTAAAGAAAATAACACTAACTTCCCCCTCAGACTTCCAATAATATTCATCTGAGCACAGCGTCTTCATGACTTGATTCAACTGTGATCTGCCACAGTGTTTGTGAGCAGGGCTGCAGGTTTCAATTTCCCTGGGTTTGCGCGCACAACAACTGGGCGGGGCTTAAGTTTTGTATCAACGTAACGCCAGCAGGGCTAAAGACTCGTTATCAAGACGATTCATTTGAACCACTTTGAGTCGACTCTTCTATAGATGAATCAATAGTTTTAAACATGGTGCACTTTCAGATTTAAGCCTTAGCTGAGTATTTCACTTCACTTAGAGCTGTGTTACACACTAGATGGAAGGTCAGTTTCAAAAACCCATAATAGGGGCTCTTTAAGGTGCCTTTGTTATGTTGGGGGTAACACGAGTTACATAATAATATTACTTTCCTTATTACTTATTGACAGTTGAGTTACTTTTTAAAAAAATGTAATGCGAATTGCCCTTTAGTTTAATTAATAAGCCTTAAAAAAAAATTGCTGAATTTAAATGAACAGTCATGTTGAATCACGCACTTAATGAGAGAATATGCATCCAGTGGGAACAGACAGAAACGAAGATGGCCGGCCAGAGTCTTACATTTCTACAATGGAAGTATTCTCAAAATTTTTAACATCCAAGAAAAGGAAAAGGGGATTCTCTCAATGGACAGGGATTTTTACTTGAGTAATAAGACAAAAAGGTGGCACGGTGGCTCAGTGGTTAACACTGTCGCCTTACAGCAAGAAGGTTGCTGGTTGGAGTTTTAGCTGGGCCAGTTAACATTTCTGTGTGGAGTTTATATGTTCTTCCTGTGTTGGCATGGGTTTCCTCCAGGTGCTCCTTTTTCCCCCACAGTCCAAAAACATGCGCTATTGGTGAATCGCATGAACTAAATTGTCCATAGTGTATGAGTGTGAGAGTGTTTACAGGTGTTTCCCAGGACTGGGTTGCGGCTGAAAGGGCATCCGCTGTGTAAAACATGCTGGTATAGTTGGCGGCTTGTTCCGCTGTGGCGACCTCTGATAAATAAGGGACTAATCTGAAGGAAAATTAATAAATGAATAAGACAAAAAGTACAAATGTTGTCTTAGCCAGGTAAAAAAAAAAGTAATTCAAAAGTAACATAACACATAAGTAACCATGAAAAGTAACTAAGTAACGCAACTAGTTACTTTTTTTGGGGAGTAACTCAATATTATAATGCATAACTTTTCACAACATTGGTCCTTGTTACAGAGTAACTATTCATTTAATTACTGAATAATATTAATTAATTACAGTTCTTACTTTGTGGTTAGGGTTACTATGCGAGTTAGTTACATTATTAATTGTAATTACTATAGCAAGTACATGGAACATGTAAAAAGGACATCTTAAAATAATAGTGTTACCAAAATTTGTTTTGTCAAGGGCCTCTCTGATGATGCCAAGAGTCGTTCAGCAATCATTGTGGAAACATCCGCCCTGCAGAGCTCCAGGGAATGGTAAGGTAAATTCATGACTAAACCATGTTCGTTAGCTTCTGACGGTGTTAACCCGTGTGTTGTGATTTAGTGAGAATGATTCCTCAAAGTCAGCAAAAGATGTCAGCACACTGCGAGTGAAGTCTGAGGACGGCACGGACACATTCATCATCAAAATGTACTTTACTGAGACCATTGGAGATCTGCGTCAATACCTGGACGTGAAAAGGTTTGAGATGTTATCAAGTTATCATAAATATGCTACAAGTTGTAGGTGACATAATGCTAATAGTTTACGACAAAGGTTTGCAAAAGAGCATCTCTGAACAAACTGAAGTCAAAATCTGAAGCGAGGCTGCACCTGGAAGCTTTAAAATGCTGCTTTTGGAGGCATCAAGGCATGTCCAAACCCAAATACTACTCACTTTCTGTCCCGGGAGGTGCCTTTGTCTGGTCAAATTTCAAAGGCAGCATAGATGTTTTCTTCATTTCCTTTGATATCCCACAATTCTGTGCATTCCCATTTATGATAACAGAGCTAAAAATAAATAAATAAATAACATGGTGTCTCAAAGCATTGCTTGGGTCATTTACATGCTTGTAAACGCAGTTCTATAGTCAAAAGGGGGACTAAATTGATACTAGCAGGCTGTGCCTAATAAAGTGGCCCCTTAATGTATACTGCCCAGTCATTTCATGATAACTAATGCAATAATTTTAATAACTTTTCTAAGAAGCTTCTTTCTGACCAATAGTAGCATTACAAAACAAAAGAAACAGATCATATTCTTATTCAAAACTAATTCAATACTGAACACTATTTTACTCCTAATGTACTGTATTTATAAGCAGAATTGTTCCTGAAGTTGTCTTGTTTTCTTTTCAGAGGTCCGAGTGCTGCATCGTATGACATCATTAGCGCATTTCCACAGCGGAGATACAGTGATGACACTCAGACGCTGCTGGCGTGTGGTTTGACTCCAAATGCAGCGCTGCTCCTGCGTGCACAAGCTCCAGCTCACAGACACTGAGCTCAAACACATCCAGTCTCCAGTGAGCTGAAATCCTCATTAGCACACTTTAATGCTGCTGACAGTTTTACTGATCATGCCTCTTAGTTTGAATTTTGGAAATTAATAAATCTGTGATGTCTGGACATGACATTAAAGTAATTAAAAATACAATATAATATGGTAATACTGAAGCTATGATAAAAAGGAAGACTTTTTTTCTCTTTTAGCATCGAATCACGAGGTGACACCCAATCCATAGTCAACATGGTTTATGACTGTTTATCATGCTATTGTAAAATCTTCCAGCGAAGTCTACAAATATTATCACTCTATTTACATCAATAACCAATGAAATGTCTTTTACACATTTTTGGGTGTTTGAGGTCATTAAACATTTAAACCTCCCACTAAATTACAGGTTGGACTGCTGTAAAGGGATAGTTCACCCAAAAAATGATTCTCATTTATTCTCCTTAGTTTCTTCCTGCAGTTGAACACAAACAAAGTCTTTTTAAGGCAAGTCATTTCACTCGGCGGCCATCTCTGAAACGTCTCTCGGGCAGTATCCTCAGGCATTCTGTCTGATTGGGAAACATTAAATTCTCCAAAACTGTTTGCTAAGCTTACAATTACATTACATATTTGAAATCCCCAATACAATTAAACAACATCTGTCTCATGAGTTTAGTTTCTAAATGTTTTCAGGTTGCCCAAGCTAACGCACATTCACACTCGAAAGGAACAAAATCACAACCAACCTCACCAACCTCATTTATGGCCGTTCTACACATTAACATCCTCTGACTAATGCCTCATCAGATCACACTGGCCTTGATGGCGAATCTCCTCCAGAAATGACAGCGACTATTTGTCTACAAGTTTGTGGGGCATTTGAGTAGTTGCTGTCATGTGCTGTGCATTTGACAGGATGGACTATACCTCGCATTTGTTTCATACAGATTACAAAACCAAATAACTTATCAAGTGCACTTGGTTCATTTAAAAGCACAGTTTTCAAGCTTTATGTGGATATATTTCTTATGTCTGTGAAGCAAGTATTCGCTGAGATTCCAGTACGGCTGTGGACCACCAAACTGTCTTAAAGCACACGTCTGATCAGAGCTTTCTTCCCCAGAGAATCATCAGTCTCAAGTGATCACTGATTGGCTGCTGTACAAGTAGGTGGGGCTTCATTCACCATATTGACATTACACTTTTTCCCCTTTAAAACTATACGAGTGACATGGTGTATTGTCTTGTGTATTCTAGAGTCTTCGACACAAAAGAAGATGTTCTGAAAAATGACTTTCATTGTAGGAAAATAAAGTTACTATGGAAATCAATGAGCGCCAGCCATCAGCATTTTTCAAAATTCCTTCTGTTGTGTTCAACAAAAGAAACTCAAACAGGTTTTGAACAAGCAAAAGATGGCAGAATTATGCCAATGCCAATTTTTGCGTGAACTATCCCTTTAACTACTAAATACTAATGGTTATTGCATGCTGAATCTGAATTTTTGTCTTTAATTTTCGCACATTAAAAACTAAAATTTTCACCTTATGAGAGTCGTATTGACACACTGCCTCCCAAACTTTAGTCCATAAAAAAAAATTTAGCGGGTTCATTTTTTTTTTTTTTTTGTTGGTATTTTGACAGTTCAGAGCCACCGTACAGCCGTACTTGAGGACATGGATAGTTGAAAACCCATATGCTGGATTCAGTGACTGGTGCACTTGTCACCTGCTCCTATTTGGGGTCTGTATGTGTGTCCATACATTTAACGTACTGTCCATAGACATTATAATTCAAAGCTAAGACGCCTCATGGTCTGTTTCAGTCCATTGCTCCAATGTCAATGCGGCCGCCATCTATTATAAAATCTGTAGGTACTGCCAGTCTCTGTTCAGCATTTATTTACGTACAAAATCTGCAAAGTCTCAAACAATATTCAAAATTCCACTGATTTCCTGAAATAAACTTGGCATCTCACTATAACCCAGCGCAGATCATTGGTAAGGAATATTGGATGAACATAATATGCAGCATATTCCTCTTTCTACTTGGGAGAAGTGAGCAGAACAAAGTATCACTGCTTGAAAAGACTGCTAAATGTTTTTTGTGTTTGTTTTTTTTGGAATGGATCAATTAATACGCATCAGACTCAGTGTGCAAGGTTTGTGCACGTCACAAATTTTTCACGTATAAATACGGAAAAAAAACTAAATTTCAGACTTCAGTCTGCGAAAACCTTAAAGGGCCATGACACCCCCTCTTTCGGTTAAAGTCTAAAGATGCATGATTAATGGGCGTGGAGCTCCGCGAGCATCGGGCAGGAGTGGGCGTGGCCAGCAGGGGAGAAGGGGAGCGAATAACTCCTGTTGTCAGTTAGCTCACAAAATGAGACACAAAGAGGAGACGCATGAGTTTATAGTTTACAACGTTAAAATGCAAAGAAATGAACAGTGATTTAATGCCCTGCTACATTTGTTATTCGTAATTTCATATACACATAACCACAATTTATATCATTATAAAGATGTGTGTTCATGTAAACACTATAAATGAGGACTTCTCCCTCAATCCCCGTATCCAGCAGACTCAGTGCAGCAGGTCTCCTGACCCGTCTATTTTAACCATTAACCCTGCTGGTAATCTGGAGGATTTAGGCAAACATAGCAGCACAGTGATGTGTCTGAATGTGAATGAACTCCTGACAAAAGACAGCGTCCGCCATTCTCTAATTCTCGTGCTGCTCTCCCGACAAAAATGCTAGCAGCACGCACACAGCTTTGCTGTATGATCGGCCCTGACAAGATCGCGGGGGAAAACATGCAACAAACCCCGTGGATGATGGAAACAAACGCATATGAGCCTTCATGAACGGCTAAATACTGTGTGCCGTAGGTCCTTGCCTCACAGCTCGGGCTTGAATCTGGCAGGTCTCATGAATAATTAAGCAGCCGGCTCTTCTCATAGGATAAGAAAACTCCGCTATGAATAATAATGAGAAACCGACGCATCATCATTGCACTTGCAGTTCTGCGCTACGTCGCCAATTTTGATCCCGCCCCAAAAATCAATTTAAACCCGGAAGCTGAAACTAGCTGACAAAAGCTCAAAATTATCCAGTTTTCCCCACAATTAAGGTGCTAACATTGTCTTAACTGATGCTCAACACACACACATCTGTTAATATAAAAAAAAAAAGTTCTCTGGGGTGTCCTGAACCTTTAATAGTTGCAGAAAATCTATTATATAAACAAATAAATTACTATTATTTATCAAAATTAACTGTAAAACTTCATACTGAATTTTTACAAATTTTAGTAAGATCTAATTTACAGAAGAATAAATTAATATAACACAGTTAAAGCAAAATTATACTAAAGTTTAGAAAACAATCATGAAATCAGCATCATCCATAATGAAACAAACAAGTTCACATAAGAAATACAAATCTTTATTATTAAAAACTGTAACAGTTTAAGACGAAATGTCTGATTTATATACACATATATTAACATTTAGTGTTGTTATAACGTTTTTGGCATATTAGTCTTGTCTGGCTGGTTGTATGTTAAACCTGAGTTTACAATACAAAAAAAAATAAATAAATCCTCAGATGCACGTCAAATCCCATTCACACTCGTTAGTGAAGTTTCTGGACCAGAATACAATTCATCACGCAATATTCCTCACAGTAAGTGGTCGCTTTTACCAACAGAACTACATGAAACAGGAAATGAAATACGCTTATTGTTTACATTGATATGTCATGTAAAGTAATTGACTTGACTGAACGCAAGGCACCTGTGCTAATGTTTATCATGCACTTAAGCAATATTTGCTTCACCAGTTGGTTTCCTCTAATGTATTGATTCAGTGACGTGGCCAAAACTAATTATCAACCAGACGGCAAACACATCACGGATTACAACAGCGCCATAATATTTTACAGGCAAGATGATGCTCCACCTAAACACACGTACATATTATAAAACATTTTTTTAGTGTGTTAACTTTGCAGCTGTAAAGAGCCTATTACTGCAATGAGGTATTAAAAATAGTCAAAAAATGACAGCATGAATATCTGATGCATCTTCAGGAAGAGGTCCAATACCTTATTCATTTAACAAAGAATTAGAACTTGGTATTACATGGATAAAGAGGAGTCTGCAAACCATAATGCTGTGTACATTAAAAACAGGTCCGTGTTTGTAGTCTTGTTAATAATGTTATGGAATGTCTATTGTCCAAATGTACACCTCATGAAGCTTTCCTTGTCGTTTAGTCTGATCTCAAACAGTCAGAGGTGGCCAAATGTTTCCTCAGTCTTAGATTTGTGTTTAATGCGATGCTTTCTGTTTGCTGTGTGATAATGAATGTCAGTTAATGCAGTGTTTCTCAACTACGTTCCTGGAGGAACACCAGCTCTGCACATTCCCATGTCTCCTATACCAAACACACCCGGTTCAGATCATCAGCTCATTAGCAGCGATTCAAAGACTGTAATGGCGCCACAGACAAAGGAGACATGCAGTGTTGGTGGAACATGGTTGAGAGACACTGAGTTAATGCACTTTTGTCGTCTGATACTTCAGGCTATTGCAAAAAAATTTAATAAAATAACCCCAAATGACATCTCAGTTGCACAAAAATATTAAATATCATCAGTTGATTGTCAACTTCGACACTGGCGTTCCCAAATGCATGGAAAGCTTTATATTACATCACTCACTTTCCATAGCACACACAGACAACAAAATATCTTAGAAAAATATCTTTGTATAAAAATATCCCTCTGATTTTTTTCCGAGATTGTAGTGTCTTTTTTTTTTTTCGAGGTTTGTTTCTGTAGTGTTTTTTGAAGGCACGTGTGATGTGGATTTACCCTCGTTGAACACATTCTCATTGAGTGATGCAGTTTTCTCCCATATCCTGAGCGTATCTGTCTGAGACTGTAGTTCTTAATTCCTCCACGTCTCGACGGAGCTGTTGGGCTTCATTCAGCTTCTTCTGCAGGCCTTCAGGACTGAGCCAGTCGTCCCACTGCTCTGCTACTGGAGGAGGAGCTGCTGGAGACACACAGACGGGGAAACTGTCAGTCACTGCTTTTGCTACACAAATAACACTACTGAGCTGATAGAGGAGTTTTGCATAACTGCAACTTCTACAATACAACCACCAAAGAATCACAAGCATTG